TTCTAAATTAATTTAACTCCTAGCAGCAGCAAGAACAGCGATAGTTAGTAGCAATTTGGTATTGACTGGACGAGCAGCCTGTTACTCGCAAAACAGCTGTGATACCAAGGAATCAGTTTTCAATTTTACAATGAATTTTTGGTTTTTCTAATCTTTTCTTAAAATTCAAACTTTAGAAATATAAATTACCATTTTAATATTTAGAACTGTCTTTTGATTTTTTGCTATTTTCTTCATTTACCTGCAAATTATTGCCGTTGTTCTGTACTGTGAATCATCAGTTGATAATTTCTCACTTTAAAGTCGACAGCAATTTATCGTTGTTCTAAACTACCAAAATGTATTGCTCTGTACAGTAATATTTTAAAGTTTTTTCTAAAAAACTACAGCATTCGATCTGTATTGTAAAATCGGACCATTCTGTTAGAGTGCAGGCAATTGCATTTTTAACTGACGAAGCCAGTACGTGATAGATGACTTCAACTTTTTGTTGCAAATTAGTTATTTGTCCCTTTTTTAACACTATAAATTGACAGTGTGAGAGTTTCTTTGTGTTTTTGACGAATCGTTTCAGGTTGTAAATAAATGTCTAATAATGCTTTTAAGAGAAAAAAAATTAAACTAGTGTAAGAAAAAGTAAACTTGATTGGACTTTTCATACATGTAAATCACTATTGATAGGGAACACAGATTTATTTCAAATAAATTAAAGGAGCTATCATCTGCAGAAAGTCAGTCTAAGCAAAAAATTTGGATTATTTTACTGTTTATCATGTTTTAACGTTTATATTTAATTGCAAAATCCAAAAGATTTGACGCATGTTTTTAAAAAGAAACGTTTTTCTTCAATTCGGAATAGTTTAGTACTGTTTATATAATTTTATTAAACAGACGTTCTTCTGCAGTTTTCTGATCAACTGATAACAAAGAAAATTTTTTACTGACAGAGGCAACACCGTCTGTATATCGACCTAAAGATTTCTAGAAACACTGCATTAGAAAATTAGAATCATAAGGCTGACCTAATTACGTGGTTTATCGTAGTGGATTTTAATGATAACCCTTTTGAAGTCTTTGAAAAAAATTTTTTTAAATTGTTTTCTTCTCTTTTGTTTTCGTTCCTCGGTATCTACAATTAGTGGATAACATTCTTCTGGGTATTTGATCGTGTTTACAAATGCATACACAAGCTTTTGGCTGACTAAAATAAATATTGATTTATTTAATGAAGTAAGCACTTTGTCAGTCATACTATTAATTGAACAAGTACTATTACAGCTGACGGCAATTAATGTGAAGCTTGAAACTGGGGAGTTTCTCTTGCAACAAAAGTAGAAGTATGGAAACATGGTGCAAAAAAAGCGAAGTTTTTTACGACGGTATGTGATCGATTTCTGGTCTCTTTATTGGATGATTTTTGAATTAAGTTTTGTTTTTTTTCATGCTCAGAAGATAGAGAAGGTAAGGAAAAGTGCGATTTAAGTGATTAATTTCTGATTTTGACAACAGCGTATTCATCATAACAGCTTTTATTTGTGAAATTTTGAGCGTAATTCACTGTAGTGTTACAAAAGCAAAAGTCAATTAATCATCCCAGTTTGATAGCTAGGAATTATGGCTTGTGAAATAAATTCTTTAATTAAAGGCGGCTTTAACACCCTCACTCCTTGAATGAAGTTAAATAAAATCAGTGACATTACCGGCTTGTGGCTTTTGGGAAGGGATTTTATTTTATTTGAAGCAATGAGCTAGTTTAGCCGTTTTTTGATTTTAGTCTTGACACTATTTAAGTATTGTTTGTAATTTATTAGCAGTTCAGTCATTAATTTTTGATACTACATTAATGTATTACTTTGTAATTTCTATATTTGCGTTAGTGTCATTCAGAGCAGCTTTTAACTTATTTTAGAGTAGGTATTTGAGTGATGTAAAAATATGCGACAGTGCTTTTTTTTTTCTAATTTTTATTCGTACTATAGATGGAGACAAATACTGGCTTAGCGGCAGATAGTGCCTAAAACATTGAATCAGAATCGAATTAAAAAAAAAAATTTAAATTTGCTTCGGCTTCATGTCTATCGAGCTGTTTCTGACGCGCTCAAAACTAAATTTAATTTTATTTAAGACTACTATGCTAGTTAAAGAATAAGTGAGAAAATAAATTATTTATTTTATTTTTACAAAGTACTGTTATCAACGCATCAAGGTATTGGTATCAATCGGTCTTCTGCAAAGTATAACCGAGCAGATGATCAGATGTGTTTTAAACAACAAAATCTCAAGCTTGTTAGTTATGGTTTTTTCAAGGAAAAATTGCTGTTTTAAGTGTTTAATCAGCCACGAATAAAACATTATAAGTAGTTCTCAAAAATCCTTTTAAACTTTTTTAGCAGTCGACACTTTTTAAAGGAAAAGTTAAAGTTACTGTTGCTTACCAAATTGTCTCTCTACACTATTCTATCGACACAAAATAAAAAAGGCAAGGAGCATTTCGCTTTTCATTTTCTGATCTATGGATCATTTTCCTTCATATTTTGTGCCGGACACTGTTTGTCAAATTCTCTCTCAATTTTCACATGTCTCTTGCTAAATGAAAATTTTTTTACTTTTTTTGATAATTAGACTTGGTATTCTATATATTGCGGACGTTTTGTGACTATAACTTTGGAGGTTCACACGGTTTCACACTGTTTTTTTAAAAGGATTTGGTACCTCAAAACTACATTTGAGAATACACTGTTTCTGGTTATCCAAACCTTTGTAATCTTTGTTATTGCGTCCGTAAATTGCTGCTTCCGTTCTCGTCTTCCTGTGTTCATATTCTTGATTTCATTCACATTTTTTCTTGTTTCGTCTATATCCTGTTGCTTCCTATTTTTCACATTTTTGCTCGGTCAGCAGTACCTTTGCTTAATTAAAGAAAGTAAATAGAGAACTGTATATGCATGGCATCTAAAGAGTTCAACTTGTGCAACTTTTATAACACGCTTTGTTTTCTGAATTTAAACAGTGTTAGTTGTTGTGGGTACTAATCCGTCTACAGAATACGAGGTAAATTTCAATGACATTTTGCATGTTTTCGATAAAAGCAAGTAGCTAAAAAGCGGAAACTAGTGCAGTGTATGAGTAGTGTAGCTTCACTGACTAAGGGTCTCCGTGGAGATTGTATCGTGGCGATTAAGTAACACAATTGCTATTGGAGAAGTGCAAAACGAATTTCGAATTACAGCTGAAATCGAACGCTCAAAAGCAGCGTATGCTGATGAAATCATATTTTGATTCAGACAAGTGACTGTACCGAAGCTGATGAATGGGAAAAAATTCACATTTAATATGTCATTTTTAATTCTTAAAAAATGAAAAATATAATTTTATTCTTTTAACGGTGGGAGAAGAATGTCGTCAACTCAAAGTTTTTTAATTTATTGAAAAAATGATAAAAAATCGTAAGCAGCGGAATCGTTTGTTAGGCTCAGCACTATCAAATAAAGCAGCACCACCACTGTCATTATCATTTTACCATTGACACTGCTATGTAAAGTTAATTGTCAATCTATGATCAGTGGTTGTAATGTTAACCAGAATGTAAGCGAAACAGAAACTGAAGGCCAATCAGATGTTGGGTGAAATGAATAAGAGTGAATTAGGCACAGAAATAGCAGTAAATTTATTGTGGCTATATGTGAATCAGTTGTTTTGGTTATTCAATCAAAACTCACTGATATTGATTTTTTACCTTTTTAGGTGCTTTAATGCTGATAACAATAATAGTGTTTTTCAAAGGCTATTAGTTCCCTGCCATTAATCAGTTAATTAACGAATACTTATTTTTTAATCCAGTTTGAAGTTACCTAAAAACTGCAAGAAATAAAGCTCTTCAGACTTTGTATGATGATGGTGTTGCATAAAAAAGTGTAGTTTTTTTAGTTTAAAAAAGATACCATGCATCAAAGCATACAATTCCACTTAAACAATTTTCTTTTTGTAATAACAAAATATTTTAAATTAGATATTTCCAAAAAAAATAATAACAGTGTATAAGTAGCAGAAAATTATTCACAAATAAAAGTTTTTGGTTCTTTCTTTTCACTGTTATTGCACCACTTCTGATTGCAGTAACTTTATTGGATCACTGAAATGAAAGATGTTTGCTGAAACAAAGTTGATAGAGTCATCGTAACAAAACCCGACAAAATTTTCATGTTTTTTTCTCATTTTTTTCTTGAAAAGTTGAAGTAGGGGTTTTTTTTGCAGACAACGTTATCTTTAACGTCATAGGGTCTTACGGAAAGAAAGCTCGTCTAGGTAAGCAGAGGAGAGTAGAGGAACTGTCCCGTTGCACCTACCGATGTATATAAGAGATTTATTTATACAGAAATGTATAAAGATATGATTAGAACAACAAATTCAAGGACAAAAAAGCGCATCAACAATGCTAATTGAAAAAACTACCTCTTTTTTCCCATATAAAATGGACCCGGAAACACCATCTTTGTTGCTCTTTTTTTTGTTCTTTTTTTTTTTGTTGCAGCATAATATCAAAAAAATGGCGAGATACATGTACGACTGCTGCAACTCAACCTGGAGCTTTACCACCACTGATCCTTGAAGCCACTAATATGAACGTTGATACACTGAACAAAGTTCAAGAGGCAAGTTGGATTTATAAGATTTGAAAATGACAACAGATTATTAGGAGATTTGACGTTAATTGCACACTTCCTCAGATTTTTTCCAGTTTTTAGCAACTTATAGGACTTGACGCCTAATTGCAAAATCGGAAAAATTCGTCTAAAAAATCTTGCTAGCCGCAAGGTTAGTCCGGTCTAAATTGTTAAGGTAAAAACAATTTGTGTTATGTAGGGTCACATTCAAAAGTTTATAATTTTGTTTATTCGAAACGGATTTTTAAGGTTTTTCCACATCTTTCAAAAGTGCAGTCTGTACAGATTTAGAAAAGTGGTGAAACGTACATTAGAAAATTTTTTTGAAGACTGAAATAGAACTAGGAGTTCAAGACATTATTTTCAGGAAAACGGTATTTTAAATTTTAGAAAAAAATTTGTCATATGGAGTCGTGATTTTTCTATGAAACTGATTTTGCTGTGATATGTTACAGTCACTAGATGGTACCATTGTTGTATCATAAGTTATGGCACAAATAATGAGACTAGCTCCAAGTAACCTTCAGCTCGGAAAATATTTTGGAGTTTCCGTAGACAAAAAGATTTCTTTTTTAACTGAGATCTCGTTAAACTTAATTATATGTATGATATGTAGAAAAATATTTTAGGTCTATTGGTTCATTAAGGATATATGGCCAAAACTTTTTTGCTTTCAAATAATTTTAAAAAATTACTATTCTGAAAGATTTCCATGAAGATTAGTTTTTGAACTGTGTTGTCGTACTTATAAAAAACTTTTGGTTTAGACACTGGAAATTCAAAACGCTAGCTTTTGACAGTGAATTTTGTTTTGATATTATCTTGGTGATTCTGCTAAAGATGCCTTAGTTTTTGCCTGCCATCAATTTTTTGATGAGAAACTCTTCACAACCTAAATAAATAGCAGTGTACGGCGCAAAAAGACGGAATTTCTGCATTTTTGTCATAAACGAAAGTTTTTATGGAGGTTCTACGACAAAACAAAGTTTGGTTAAGAACACTAAGACTTCTGAAGGGAAAAGCAACTTAAAGAAAATTGTCAAATTTCCTGACCGGCCTGTCTCACAACACAAAAGCTGAAAGACTGCGAATTTTGCTTTTTGGTTTGTAAACTTTAGGTTTACAGCAGAATGGTACCTCTTCGTAACATCTCGAAGAAAAAGCCCCGTGATGGCATAAAAGCTAGACTAAAAAAAACTAGCAACAGTCTGTAAAAGGCTCTTTCAAACCAAATATTTATTGCAACTTTTCTTTGCAACTCCTCACCAAAGCAACTGTCCGACAGAAATGGATTTTTTTGTGTTGAAAGGATACTAGAAAGAAAACCCTTTTCCAGCACCGCGTTTTCACGTCGGTTCACCAACCAGTTCCAAGTACACAAAAATTCCATTGCATTATTTCAGAAGGCGGTAGGAGACAACAGCAAAACAAAATTCATTGTCATTACCCAGCATTGAATTTTTAGTGTTCGGATCAGAAGAGTTCGGTAAAGAGGCAAAATGATACAACTCAAAAAACTAGTATTTATGATAATTTTTTAGAAAATAAATCTTTAAAATTGTATAAAAGTATAAAAATTTTAATCATACACCTGCTGCTGAACCAGTAGACCTAAACTGCTCTTCAATACATTATATATATTAATACTAGACGTAGAGATTTCAGCTGAAAAAAAGGAATTCAGTCATCTGCGGAGGTCCAAAGTGTTGAACAAACTGAAAGTTTTTTGCAGTTTCGTTTCACTAAGCGTGCCATAAATCGTGATACCATAAAGATATCATCTTGTTACTTTGCTATTTTATAGGAAAATCATAACTCTAAAAATTGAATCTTTTCACAAAAATTTACTTTTTAAAAATAACACCTTCAATTCTTGTTTTTATGTACAAAGTTTTTCAATATCACTTTACCGCTTTTCTTGATCTTATGAGATGCGCTTCAAAATAAAGTGAAAAACTCAAAAATCAGTTGCGCATAAAGAAAACTACGAGCTTTTAAAGATGATCACGTTCAGCGGAAATTGTGTTTTTTTCGCACTCTGGAACACTAACCTTGTCCCCAGCATGCTTTTTAAAATAAACTTTTTGATTTTTCAATTAGGTAAGAAGTTCTACAAGTTGGGAGAGAAAGAAGAAAACCTGGGAGGTTGGCATAAAATCTTGCGATTTGACGTGGAATCGCTCTATTTGATTTCCTTTTATGCTTACTGGATTGTGCTTCTCGTTCTAATATTTAATCTCTTTCCGTGAAAATTTAGTAAGCAACAAAAAATCATAGAAAAGTGCTCTATCATAAACGAGAGGATAAAGGGATGTAGATTTGGTGGAAAGCACAAATCGATTTTGAATGCCAGTAATCAATGTTTCAAGCTTGACGGTACTGTCAATATATCTGAGCAGTTTCTAGCTACCAATAAGATGGTTCAAAAAACTGTATAGATATCATTTAAGTTTATTCAGCTGTCTGTATCATAGTAACTGTTTTCTATCGGTAACTGAATGAATAATGAAAGTCAAAAAAAGAGAACTAATCATTGATAGGAAAAAAGCAAATAATAGGTCTTAGAAAAAAAACTTTTCCTGTACAATCTTTGAAGGTTATAAAACGAGCGTTCCAACAGTGCACAGTTGAAAAAGAAGTTGCGACATTTATTAAAATTTCTGTAGACGAAATCTTAGGACCGACATGGCAATGTATCGTAGGCCGAAGTTTCGGGTCACATCTTACATATGAATATTACGCACATTTTACTTATGCTAAATTCACTATCATTCTGCTTAAATGTTGTTAATCAACTGTTGATATTTGTATGACAGATTCGATCAGACCTGTATCTTTATATGTTCATTTACATTCTACTTTCTTCATTATTCTACTTACTTCACGGATTGGTTGATATTTTGGGGAGAAATCAAAAATTTTTTTTAAATATGGCTTTAACAAACGGTTTAGTATATAAAATGCAAAAAAAGTAATTACCTCTTTTCATACTTTTTTTCTTCCAGTAAAGATATGTTGCAAAACAAACAAGCCGCCATTGTACTCTATAAAATTTTTCCTTTTACTGATTATTTTACGTACAGAGACTTATTTAATGACTTTTCAAGTAGTGGAAAGATGGGAAAAGCGATATTTGTAGGACAAAAAGCTGTATTCGTTTTAACACTGACGGCCAAAACTTTGCCGCTCTACCAACATCTAAACTGCCAAAACCTCAATTAGACGCAAAGAGAATACTGACACAAACTGTTCTATTTCTTTCACTCGAGAAAAATATTAAGAATTTTCCTTGCATATGAATTTTTTTCCTACTGTCCGAAATCATTTTTATTTTTTTACTGCCCTCCCTGATTCCATTCCCCCCCCTCTCCCCTCACACTTCGGTTCTATTCTAACATCCATTTCAAATATACGTAAAAGAAGCTTTTCATCGCTCAGCAAATTTTTTTACATTCCCGCGAATTGTTTTCTTCCTTTCCTTCCATCCCCTTCTATCAACTCTGTCTTATCAGCTGCTTCAAAAGGTATAAAATAGGTATCCCAGTGCGTAACAGTTATAGTGGTTTACAACTTTTGCTTCATATAGTGGTCTCTTTGTATTTGCGCGTGTATGTATCAGTTTGAGTGTGCGCTTTTTTGTGTGTTTGTGTTTTTGTGAGGAATAACAAAGTCTCCTGAAAAAAAAACGTTTGAAGTGAAAAAAGCATCAATAAATTCAGTTTTATTGTTCATCATTAAATTCGTTTGCGGTATAACAGTCCTTATTGTCAATAACTTATTGGACTTTATTATATTTTCTTAATAAATGTTAGCTATTTTAACTTAAAAGCAAGTTATGACATTGAACTGCTGTACAACTACTGCTACTACAGATTATCCCTCATTTCATTATTTATAATAATGGAATGGATTTGGTGGTAATTCTGCTGAAGATACCTTGGTTTTTAGCTCGTCACCAACTTCTTCAACAAAAGACTCTTCATAACCTAAATAAATAGGCGTTTATGCCTTACACAAAAACAACTCTGAAATCGAATAAAAAATAAATGTTTTGGGGTAAAATTATGAAAAATATTTCTGCTTTTTAATCAGTTTTGCCCGTTCTTGTGAAAAAATAACCTTGTGGTTTTTTTTCCGGCCAAATAACCATATCTCTATCAGATTCAGAACCAGCAAACGGAGTCTTAACATTGCCTTCAATTTCGCCAGTCTTTGCAGTACCGGCATATTCCATTTCCGACGGCAGTACAAGTTCTAAAATGATAAAAGAATGTCTTGTAAAATCTGGAAAAAAACTGGTTATGAAAAAGCCGACAAACCTTTTGGAAATAACGGCTCTCCATGTAACGCTTCTTCATCAAGCGGTACTGCAACTACGTCGACAGGCTCAGGCACATGTGGCGGCAAAGGATTGGCTCTGTATATAAAAAGCGTATGAAGAATTATGGAAAAGAGTTTGCATTAAAACAGTAAATGATAAAAATTATGCAAACTGAAAAGATTTCTTCTTAACCTGTAAAGCGTTAAAGCTGGAATTCCAGGGTATCCTTCTTCTGGAAGGAACGGGCTAACGCCGAGGCGAGAACTGGTACCTTCTTTGCCCAAAGTTGGTATCTTACCAATGAGTGGGAGATCATTGTACGAAACGTCTACGTAAGTGTATGGAGCTTAAATGACACGAATGTACAAAAAACCAGGACGTTATGGAACTCATGCTCCACACTTAGTGGATTCTGAAATGGAGTTTAGAATAATACGGACCATGGTGTGGCGGAGCTGGCTTCAGTTTTAATGAGAGAACAGTTAAAGCATACCAAATACTCCTAGCCCCGGCCCATATGCCGTTGCAGCATTGATGAACTGCTCGATAAGATAATTTGAAACTAGAGGGGAACCGCTGATCACGAGAATTAGTTCAGCAAGTATTAACGGCGCGATAATGCGGCGCAGAAACATCGTTAAGCACTTGAAAATAATTTCCTTCAGTCAAGATTTTATTTTCACATGCTTCCAAATCCAACTAAACTTTAATGAAGTCTGTCTGAAACCCGATTTCTTAACAAAGTTGGCAAAGGTTAAGAGTAAAAAATTGAAAGTTATAAGCCAATTACACTACACTATGAAAATTATAACGGTTCGCTTGTGCAAGAATAAATTTTCATAAATTTTTAAGCAGAAGCAAATGTATTAACATCCACATTCTGGCATCTCTTTATTTTGAAAAGATGACTGTAGAACAGAATAACCAGTAATATTTCCTAAAAAGCCAGTAAATAAAGTAACATTCAAAGAAGTCAAATAGGAAAAATCTTTTTCAAGGGACAAGGACAAAAAATTGGAAGGATGGTAAGATATCCAGGAAGGAAAGAAACGCAAAAAGATATGCTGGTGAAAAAGTCTTATTTGTTTTCAATTAGGTCATTTCTATACCCTAACCGAAATGTTAGTTTTCATTGCTCGAAGAGCCCCAATCATATACCGGTTTTAACAAACCGTTTGTATCATCTCAATCAAAATTTTCAGTCCCTCCAAAAGAGTTTCTGACGGGTATTTTCAAACGGTCGAATGTAGCAAGAACCTCTTCTCTTCAACATATATAGAATGTGCTGTTCCGCAATTACTGAATCTGTCGTTTGTTTATACCCATTCATAGAGCTGGTTTCAATGTCCTCGTCAAATGTTTTTAAAACCTCTACTGTAGTGGCTGCCCACAGTCCAGTTTATTTCGTGCAATGTTTAAGCAGTCCTGTTTTGCGTTATTTCATCGACTTTTCAACAATAAAAAAATGACTTCACGTTCTGGACTGAACTCAACCGTTTAAACTCTTAAAATATTTCTGGTTTATATTCAAAATAAAAGAAAAATGGTGTTTTGCACAGCACATAAGTAATAGACCCTTCTAAAAAACTTCTCCTTTTTTTACTTTTTTCCCTTTCTTTACTACCTTACCAAAGAGGAAATTCAAGCATTTCAAGCGACAACTAAAAACTACCAAATTAAACCAAATCCAATAACTGCTAGAAAGTACGGGCTTTAAATTATTGATTCTTTTATTCTTTCCCAGCTGCCTGTTTGTTTATTTCCTGCTAACTACCAGTGCTTGATGTATTTTTACTTTTAATTTACTCTATTCATTGACCACAGTAATTTTGCGACTTCTGGTGCACCTGAATTGCTCGATTCTTTGTCTGTCGATATATAAGAAAAAAGAAAAAAACGAGACAATGCCCAGAATCATTCAATTACTGCTAAAACACTCTTGAAGGCTGTATTTGACTACACCTTCTGTCTCTCCTTCGCCTCTGCCTTAGTGGTTCTTAGATTGTTAACGCCAAAACTGGTCACAGAAACAAGTATTGACGCTCAGCAACAGTAGCCTAAACAGGCTAATAATGTCAGAATCTCTTCTCGTATCAGAGTCAGACGAGAAGTACAGCGGATGAGAAGTATGCTAAAAGGCGACGATTTAGACTTGAAAGCGACCCTGAAGATATGACGGGTTAAGGCGAAGGTCTCAGTTATGAAGGGGAGGATTGAATAACGTAAGTCTGAATTCACGATAAGAATTAGGATATTTCATTGTCTGTCAAGTATGGCAGCACAAGAACTTTTTTTTAGGAAGTTTTGTTGTTTCAATAGTCTCGCCAAAACGGCAAAAATCAAAAAACAGGTGAAGGTCAAGAGAAGGATAAGTCAGCGACACAATAAGCAAACTGGTTCTGGCAGATCAGAAGAATGGGCTCAGGAAAAGTGCTTCTGCAGGTATTGAGATTCAGTTTCTATGAGTACTATATGATTTATAAAATCGCAATATGCTTTATGGCTAAAGGTCATCTAGCTGGTTACTGTCTTAGACCATGGGAGTGGAGGGCTCGTCATTGCTCACATTACTTTGGTTTTTCATTATTTTTTCTGACTTAAGTAGCATAAACAAACTTCTTCCTTTATTCTTATTGTACGATTTTTCGTCCCGTTTTCGTATCAAACAGCCTCGAATAATCGTTATATTTATTTAGATAAATTACTACTGTGAAGGTATAATTACACGAGTCTGAGGTTTGGATTTATAACTGCTGAGAACCCAGTATCGGTTTTGCGTGATGCATCAAAAATCAAACGCAGATCTCACTAGCAACTTAGTTTCTAAGATTAGTAGATGAATTCCCGTTTGATGTTTGGCCCACTAAGCAATTAGTTTTGGGTTCTTAGCATTTTATTAAGTCAAACCTTATTTTCAGTTAACAGAGTTACAAATAGTTGAGAATCAGTAACTGTAAACAAGACAGCAATGCTGTAAACGTTTTTGACAGACCATTTATTCAATTATGTGGCTTTTTAGGAGCCAAAAATTCAAAATGATTACGTACTTCAAAGCATTAGGCCTAAAAGCTAAAAGTAAAATTGCTTTTTTTGATAACGGAATACATTTACTACGAAGTTTTGCCTGAAATATTTCATAAAATTAGCATTTAAAGTGCAAACTTAGGTGTATCACGCTGAAAACTGTTCCGTTAGTATTTCAACACGGCAGTGGTGATTAGAACTATACGGGCCATTCCGTGCCAAATCGCCCACGTTCTTACCTTCATATCTCAGAATTTTTTTAAATTTTGCTGAGCAGTAGAGTCTAGGCTAGCATAGAGAAAGCCAAAAAAAAAAACCTGGAAAAGTGAATTCCCTGTCAAGTTACACCCACTCAAAGTTGCAGAATTAGCCAGGTTGCCACCTGAAACGCCTATATTAGCAGACTTGTAATTTAGCTCGTTTTGAATAGACTTTAGTGCTTTTTTTGATCTTTAGATTTGCATGTCCTGAACTTTTGAATGCACATTTATTTTTCGAATCCTGTCAAAAAATCAAATGAATACAATAAAAACAAAATTTCAAAAAAACATTTTAAAAAAAACAAAGCTTCAAATTTTTAAGGAAGAGATATTTTGTGCAGAATTTTTTGCTCTACAAAATATAAAAATTTGGAGATTGCGATTTTTCGGTATCGGAGGCTACGAGCCGGAATAGGATGTAAAACTGAAAAAAAAAAC